GGAAAGCCATGGACTTCTTGCAGCTGTGTCGGACAGCTGCTGGAGGGTTGCAGCTTCCACGTTCGATTGTCGAAATGGAGTACCGCGCAGCGTACCTGCTGTGGACCCTCGCAACATGCTGCTCGTTCTGTAAGGAGTCCATCAAAGGAAGCACCTTCGACGAAGTATGCCCTAAACATGTGATAGGCACGGGGTGGAGGCATTCGATGTAGGAGTTGTTGTCGCAAGGGTCAATACGAGTATTTTGTGTGCTTGGGTTTGGGTAGAACCATGTGCTATACGCGTAGTAGCTGCTGTGGAAGTAGGTGCTACATTGTTGTGTTTCATATCATCGTTCGCAACTGTAACTAGTGCTGTAAGTCAAGCTTAGCAAGGTCTTGTCTAGGTCGCGGCTGGCATACACAATGCAGCGAAAGCCAAATGAGGCTATGATCAGATTCTTTTCCCCGTTGGGCATAGGGCAATCTTTCCCACCTGTTTTGTGCGCAACAACTCAATGCTGAGCATCTTGTGCATGGACGGAATTTGTGCACCATTGGTTTCTCGACAGTGACCATTTCGCCCTACAGCACGATTGTTTATGGGATATCTTCATTTATGTGCCGAGAACCCTTCGCCGGAACCACCGTCGATGCTGTTAAACCATGTGGAACCCATTAAAAATGCTGCAAAAAACTAGAGAACCCACAGGGAACCCAGATACTGGAAAACCATGGGAACCCACTTCAAATGCTGCAAAAAACCAGGGAACCCAACAAACCCCACCGTCGATGCTGTTAAAAACCATGGGAACCCACTTAAAAATGCTGCAAAAACCAGGGAACCCACAGGGAACCCACAGGGAACCCACAGGGAACCCACAGGGAACCCACCGTCCATGCTGCAAAAACCATGGCAATCTGAAGAAAGCTAAGTGAAAGAATCAATGAAGAACATACACAGACCCACCCGAAATGCTGCAAAAAACAAAGGAACCCATTTGTCGCCCACTTGAAGTGTTGCAAAAAAAACAAAGGAACCCACAGGGAACCCACCGTCGATATTGTTAAAAACCATGGGAATCCACTTAAAAATGCTGCAAAACCCAGGGAACCCACAGGGAACCCACAGGGAACCCACCGTCCATGCTGCAAAAACCATGGCAATCTACAAGAAAGCAAGTGAAGAATCAATGAAGAACATACACATACCCACTCGAAATGCTGCAAAAAACAAAGGAACCCATATGTAGCCCACCTGAAGTGTTGCAAAAAACAAGGGAACCCACAGGGAACCCCATCTGCTGCAAAAAGCAAGGGAACCCACTTACACACCCTTTGGGTAGTATAACACCATTAGAACGGTGGAAGGTCCCAGACATGCCGGATTCAATCAAACTCAGTTGGCAGCTGAGTATTACACGACCACTTTGTCCTGAGGGTGAAATCAGCCCGCCACCGCCGGGCTCGTTCAGGTTCCCTCGCCTGTGTTCTCACACCCTGCAGTATACAATCTCGAATCAAACTGCGGCGGATCAGTAGAGTCTGCCTGTCCGAGCTTTCTGCTCGCGGACAATTTCGGATCCAGATTTTCCATGCTGCGCTTTGCTCTATGTAAAACACTACGGTGCTCAGCTTCGACCTTGCAACAGGATCAACATTTCAGAAGCACTTGCGAATGAGCATGATATGACGGGCTCACATTCGTGCATTCGGAAAAACCTTCTAGATGTCAACAAAGAGTTTTGGCTGCCCACATGGACAGCAAAGCTCACTGCAAAGCTCACTTACTCGTCCTAAACCCTACACCGCAACGCAACCACGTTTTGGTGGCCTTTAGAAACAGAAGGCTGGGTTTGCGTCAAAGCACGGCACTTCCACCTGCTTTGGACGAAGGACAATCAAGACATCTTGTAGACATGCTTGCATTCTCACGCTTCTGTCGCAGGCGGACCACAAACTCCACTCTTTGAGGAGGAGGAACAGGAGGTGCTTTCACGTTGGACATGGTTGCAACACTTGGGCCAAAAGAGTAGTCGAATTGCGGAGCCAATTCCGGAAGCTGTTCTCTAGGATGCTTGGAAGGGCCTTCTCTAAAACACCAAAAATCAAATACCAGTTGACATAAACAGCGTCTGGAAGAATCCAACTTGTCCACCGGCCTGTGCGCAGGGAGGAAACAGGTCTGTGTTTGCGCGGAGATGCGGAATTGCAGAGTACTGAGAGGGTGCCATCGTCGCTGAAGCGAAAGAACGCATGTCGACCCCAGTGGTCCCCACCAGTATTCTGATGCGATATCGGAGGAAGCTTAAAAGCTTCTGCGTGGTGTGGTCTGTAGCAATGTGTGCAAAGGTGGCTACGCGGGAGAGAGGCGATTCCGTCTCTTGTGGAAGTCCCTCACGAACTCCCAGTCTGAAGAAATTCGACACCGATGTAGGATGGAGCTTGCTTCGCATGGTTGCTTAAGTAAGTTGTCGTTTGTTTTTGCCCTGAAGAACCAACTGTCAGCAGCGAGAGCAAAAGTGTTTCAAGTCGAGTTTTCTTTCACGTCTGAGCAAGTAGAGAATTTCATGCAGAACGGCATGGTATTTGCATGTTTTGAGCATGTCTGAAGAGTCTTGAGCTTGTTTTGTGCCAACTGCCTTAAGGATGAGACTGCAGTTTTGAAAGAATCCTCAAGGGAATCTTTGTGAAGTGCTTGAAGTGCTTAGCAGAAGCACTAGTGTCTCTGAGGGGCCTGAGTTGGTTGTGCGAGTTTGGTTGCAAGCTGTAGTTCAGAAGTTTTGCTGCAGTGAAAGCGTGACCGAACTGTTTGGCTCAAGCGCGAGTGTGAAAAAGAAGTCCGAGTGCAACGCTTCGCTTTGCAGTTTGTCCTGAGCCACTTCGTGAAGTTTGTTTTCCGACTGGGAAAGCTTCGTGAGCTTTTGGTTGCAACTTCAAGGTTTTGAACTTGGTTGTGACGGTCTCGAAGTTTTTCGTGGTAGCGGAGCGTGGCTCCTGGCTACGCTTCAGCAGAGGACGTGCTTGGTTGTTGCTTGAGAAAAGTGTGAGTGACAATGAGAAGACCAGTGTCTCTGCCAGCCGGTGGGGATGACTCTTCGTTGTCCAGCTTGGGTGGTGGAAGTCGTGGAAGGAACCGCAGTCCTCCCAGAAGGCCTGCTGACTTGCCTCTGCAGACTCGAGGTCGTTCGCCTTCAAGGGCTCGTGCTTCTTCGAGGGCGCCAGAGCCCACACGATAGCAAGACTGAGGGAAGCCCAGGCAATGACCAATGCCAAATGCAAGCACACAAGGATGCCCACCCCCCCCTTTTTTTGGCGACGGCTGCCTTGCTTTCGCGGCAGGCAGCAGTAGCCTGCGACCTCCAGGCACGGGGCGGCTGCGACGCAAGAGCAGCCAACGCCGAACCGAGACACCGACCTCCTTGCCATGTAGCACATAGATAGAGCAAATCTGAGGCCCGTACGGCTGGAGTGGCTGCAACGCCTGGCCAGACTCAACTAGTGATGCGTTGAGGCTGAAGACAAAACATGCGGGCAGCAGTAACCTTTGTCCCGATGCAGACGGCTTGGCAGGGGTTCAATCCATGTCCTCCAAACCGGCAGCTCTAGGCGAGGTCGTGGCTCGAGGGATGCCAGTCAATGAAGGTCGCACCCCCATCGGGTAAAATGTCTGCAACCGCGGTCCAATGCCTGGCACTCCGCTCGCTTCCCGGGAAACGGCCTCTGGCAGGTCGTCACAGGTTGCACCAGAAGCTGGGAGACCTGCAGGTTCCTGCCCTTGGTTCTCGTCAGCGGTGGTTGTGCGCCCATTGCTGCCCGACTCAGGTGGTGCACTGTATTAGGCATGCCCGCTGGTGAGATGGCGCTGACGCTGCTCACACTGGGGGGTGTGCGTCTCCGCATTCGTGTGGTCGCAAGGAGCGCAGCATCGGGTGTGCCCGACTCCCGCCACTCTCGAGCAATTCGGGGAGCAGCAAATGTTGCCCCACGCTGCAAAGGGAGCAGCAGCGGCGGTGCCTGCCCTTGAGAAAGGTGCGTTGACATCCTGGGGTAGTGCACACATACGGGCAGTTAGTCCAGTGTGCTTCTTTATGACCACCCCGCGGAGGTGGGTTCTCGCGCGCCACCAGTCTGACGTCTTGGTTCCCAAAGCCGCCACCTCTAGGCACATGGACGGAAGCCATACCACCTGGCTGACGACGTATGTCGTCGCCCCTCCCCTCCCCCGACAGAACAGTCGCTTGCGACGAAAACCGTCGGCTCACACTCCAAAGGTATTTGGCCGAGTATTTGGCCGAATCCAAATATATGTAATATAAATGATGATATGTGTTTCTCCAATCAAATATGTTTGCGAAGTTAAGAGGTCAACACGGACAGTCACTCGCACGTACACTTCCCTCGGACTGATGTTTTGACTGCTGGGGCGATCGACGTGCGGATGATGTCGACGGATGGGCTAGGCACCCAGTTGGCCTAGGTGAAAAGAAGTTCGTGCTACCAGGGCACGGGTCATAGCCAGTGTATGACGACAGTGACCGAGGGCCGTGGTGGGTGGGTGAACAAAAATTTTCGGCTGACCTTGGGCCCGAAACTTCGTCATGCTGAGGATGTCAACGAACAAGGCACGTTGAAAGCAAGACGAGCACAAGTGCCGAAAATTAAATGATAAAATTTGAAAGGAAGAAAGTGTATGAGCCTAAGGTTTCGCTCGCGTCAAAACGCAGGTCGCTCGCTGTCGCCGCACACGACAACGCCATCGCATGCGCGAACGCACACGTCGCTTGCGACGAAAACCGTCGGCTCACACTCAAAAGGTATTTGGCCGAGTATTTGGCCGAATCCAAATATATGTAATATAAATGATGATATGTGTTTCTCCAATCAAATATGTTTGCGAAGTTAAGAGGTCAACACGGACAGTCACTCGCACGTACACTTCCCTCGGACTGATGTTTTGACTGCTGGGGCGATCGACGTGCGGATGATGTCCCCTGTTTGGAAGCACGTCTGCCCTCACCCCTACACCACCAGGTTGGCGTAGGGATCTCTTACAGCGAGGAGGATCGCATCCCTGACGGGTCCATCCGAGCCGAGGTCAACGACTCTGCCGCCGAAGAGGCGGGCTGCAGCCTCTGCATCCCCCCTGGACGGCATGTCCGCAGGGTTGCTGAAGGAGCAAACTCTCTCGTACCACAGCACCGAAGGATGAGAGATCTCGATGGACTGCATGACCCTGGCCATGGCTCTCAGAGACTCGGAGTCCGCGGTCCCCTTGGAGAGAGCCACCCTCGCTGGTTCGTTGTCGATCCACATGACCGCGAGGCGATCTCGGATGACGTGTCGGAGGAGGTATCTAGCAGATATTGCAGCGTAAGCTTCGATCTGGCAGATGAGCTGAGTGCCCACCTGCGGTTGCCATGCCGCAAGGAGCTCACCCGGAACTTCCAGTTCGAAGACTTGGGTGGCTTCTGTGGCTGGGTCGAAAACGACTCCGCCGGCGCCTGCCCTGCCCCCTTCCCAGGACCCGTCAGTGAAAATGATGACAGGCTGCCCAGTGACGGCCAAGTCAAACTCGCGCTCGGGAGTCCCCCGAAGAAGAGCTATGGCAAGCCTGCACAGAGCTCTGATCTCGGATGTGGAACGACGCCCATCCAGCAACTTGGCAAATTCCTTGGACAGGAAGCGTAGTCCCTTGGCCATGTAGAACCCGGCGGCGAAGTTCAAGTGACCTTGCAGAATCGAAAGCCGTCCAGAGTCGACGCGCCCCTCGTCGCTGAACTGCTGGATCATCTCGACTAGCTTGTCGATTCTGCCTGGCTTGTTCGATAGGCGGAATTTGGCGGACCGAATTCCTCTCAGATCTACCAAGACCCCGAGGGCGACGAACGAGCCAGCGAATTGCAGGGCTTTGTCGCCGTCTTTGGAATGGGCCCATCCCAAGCAGTCGAGGACGGCCGATACCGCAGATTTCAGGACCGGAGCTCCCATGGCCGGTTCTATGATGGGGAAGTCGTCGTAGAACACCGTGGTAAGTGCAGCGAGGAACTTGACCAACACATGGTGCAACGCACGTGAGATCCTCAGGAATGCGTACACCGAGGCGTTGGAGCCGAATGGAAGCACGTCCGACCTGTAGTACTGCCACCCTTCTGAGGTCGGGAAGCCCACGACACAGAAGGGCCTCGAGGCTGGGTCAATCGGTACCTGCTTGTATGCTCGGGCCAAGTCAAGCGTGCCTCCTTCCCACTCTGACGAGGCCACGAGATGGTGTACCGGGTTCCCGTCACAGTGCCCCAGGTGCAGACTTGAGGCCACGTGGGCTACTAGGCAGGCCAAGACGTCAATGTCCATCAGCTTGACTTTGTACGACGGGGAGAAGGCAGAGTTTAAACCCGATGCCTTGGCGTCGTCTATAACCCTAAGCTTAAGACTAACTCCCTGGTAAATCGGGAACCTGGGGTTGAGTAACCAATGCTCGGAACCGAAGTGCTGGTGGGCATCGCTCTCCGTGAGGGGGCCTTTCAGATCGCCCCTGCTGACCTCTTCCATGGAGGCCGAGACAAGGTCATTCTGATGCTGGTCACTGGGGATCTTACGAGACCGAATCATGGCTTCACGCCTGAGAGGAGCCGACGCAAGAAGGTTGTCCGGTGAGTCCGAGGAAGGCTCTCCTCCGGGTTCTAGATTGGGGACGGGCCCATGCGTCCCAACAAGAGGAATGCCTCTAGCCATCAAGTCGACGATCCCGCAATCATCGAAGTCGGAAGCCTTGAGGAGGGCCTTCCAGAGGCAAAGTTTCTTGGGACTGAGGATGCTTGCCACGTCCGGGTCCAGGGACGATTTGAACTCGTCTTCTTTTCCTTCAAGCTCTTTGGCTAGCTGCTTGATGGTTATCACAGCCTGCAGACGCCGTTTTGCCGTGTCGACCGGGTCGGTTGTCAACACCGTGTCCACGGCATCTTTCAGCACCGTTGGGAGAACTTGGCCAGGATTCCTCGGATGTTCGGTCTGCTTGGCTAAATTCAAGTAGTCTTGAGGGTTCCACTGTCGGCCGATGTTGACGCATGCAGTGGAAGAAGACTCAGGGATGCTGTCTTGGGAGATTGGTACCCGCGCTCGTGGGGCTGCAGAGTGGAGGCTGCAGGCACCCGGGCACACTCGTAGAACTCGGGGATGAGCGGGCGAGGGCCGCGGCGGACGCTCTGAGACAGACTGGCGGAAGCAGTAGGCACAGGCTCGGGGAGCTGGTGACGCGCGGCCAGAGCCTGCGCCATGCGCAAACAAAGCAAGCGAGGGTACTGCGCTTCCTCGGCAGTGGCGAAGCGCGGCCCGCTGCCCGTCGGGTCAATGGTCCACGGCGCATGGGTGTGTGAGGAGTCGCAAGAGGCCCGGAGGCTGCTGAAAAGGCCGGGGGATCCTAAGATCTTGGTGCTCTTCTTGCGGCGGCCGCCGTGCATGCAAGAGTCAAAGATGCATTCTTCGAGCTGGGCGAGGAGATGCACACGCTGGGATTCCTCGGCCATGGCACGTAGCGCTGACCAAAGCCAGGATCGAGAAGGGTTCTCGAGGCTGACGGTGGCACCCATGCTGGCGGCAAGCTCCAGGACGTCCAAAGCGAACCAGTAGACGGCATTGGCTTGGCAGACGCGACGGTGTTCGGCAGGGGTGAGGTTAGGGAGGCCTAGGGGGTGGAGCAGATTACGCAAGGGCCGCGGGGCGGGCCCAGGCACACCGTGAGGCAGAGCACGTTCGCGGGCCCGCGAACAGGTGCCACAGGGGAGGCCGAGGTGCACATGTGCAAGCGGCTGTGTGCGCATCCATCGGAGCAAGAGAGCCTGTTGCTGGGGGCAGCTGAGGTCCAGCTGGCAGATGGAGTGCTGCGGAGAATGCGTATTCCAGTGGTGGTCGACCGCCAAGGTGGCGAAGCCAGCAGCGCGAAGAGCGGCCGACAGGGAGGCCGAGCCGGCGCAAAGTTCGACCGCCATTGGTCGCAGGCTAGTGTGCGGGACAGGAGGCAGAGCGTGTGGTGTGCCAGGGGCGCCACAAGAGAAGCCGGCGCGACTCAGAGTGTCGAGATCGGCGGGGCACAGGGTGTGCGCGTCAAGAGAAGTGAAGGCAACCAGAACGCAGCGAGTGCCCTCCCAAGGGAGTGTTTGATGACGCGCCTCGGCAGCAGGAAGGAAGACGGGCCCGGAGGCCACATCAAGTACACAACCAGGCGTCACGACACCGTCCAAGAGGCGATGAGAAGTGCCGGAGGGGGACTCATACCACACGCCTCCACCTGAAAAGGCCGTGAGAGGGATGAGCAGGTTGGGTTGGGACGGCTGGTTAAGGGCGTCCAAATGCAGGGGAGCAGTCAAATCGCGGAATATAGCGATGCTGGAGAAAGAGTGCGTGGCACAGGTAGCTCGCACAAAATCGGCAAGGGCCTTGGTCGCCAAAGGGAAAACACGGGTGTGGCGACGCAAGCCGGGTCCGCTGGAGTATGCAAAGGCTCCAGTGGTAAAAGACTTTGACTGAGGCAGCAGAGATGCAGCACGAGCCGGAGCCTCAGCAGGCAAAAGTTCAAAAAGCTGATAGGCTTGCTCGGCAGTCATAACAGAGTCGGCAAAGCGGGCCGCAAATTGCTCAGCAGGGTGACCGGCGTGGGGCGGCGAGACAAAATCGCCGGTCTGCAAAGGCTCGTGTAGTCACGAGTGGCTGCACTCGCAGGCCGGCTTATGGCGGTGGCATCCGATTTTCCAGCACACGTGGTAGCCGTTGCTGCAACGAGCACCAGGCTTCACATGAGAAGCGCGGCAGGTCCCCAGGTTGAACTTCATGCAAATGGGGCCTTTGGAAAAACGAATGGTGCAGCCATCAGGCACTTGGATGCGAGAGCCGGCGCCGGAGCCTTTGCCTGGGCCCTTCGCAGGGGTTCGACCCGGTGACGCAGCAGGCACAGGTGGAGCAGAGGAGGCACGCCTCTGGCTTCGTTTGCGCTTGCGGGCAGCCTGTGCAGCATGAGGCTTGGGAGGTGGGGTGTGAGAAGCATTCGCCAGCGGGAGGAAATGCCAGACGACCTCGGGGTGGTTGCTCAAATCCAGAATCAAATTGTCAACCAGCAAGGCACCTGTGGCAGCGTCACTGCGGCCCAGAAGCCCACGACTGAGCTGAGACAGGCGAACCCAAAGGGCTTTGTCGGCAGCCAAAATCTGCTCGAGGCCAATAGGAGAGTAACGACTGGACGGCACAGGAGTCGCAAGACGATCAAAGAGATTCTGGGCCCAGGCATCCAGAGCTTCGTAGGTGGCAACACCTGCGATGTCGTAAGCCATGGCCCGCCGCTGAAAAGCGGCACGAAGGAGGTGGGCAGTGGAGATATCACATTCACCACCCGCGGACTCCCGCGACACCTTGATGGCATCATCCGAGCCGAAGCGCAGAGAGGCGGAAGAGCGTTCAGCAAGGGCCTCTTGGTAACGGCTGATGCACTTGTTGAGCTGCAGGTATTGAAGGACGCCCTCATCGAACTGCTGAGATGCCTTATCCACCAGGGCATGCGCAGGCTGATTGTGATCAGTGAAGGTGACCCCGACGAGCCGATTCTGTAGGCGAGAGCTGCGCTCGAGTTTCTCCTGTAAGGGAAGAACTTTCGGCTCGGAATCTGAGGTACGTTCAAGCTTGCTGCGCAGATCTTGAAGAGCCAGAGCCTGCGCCTCAAACGCAAGGCGTCGCAATGCAGTGGTCTGGTGAGCCGAGAGAGCTGAAGAGACGAGCGAGCCCACGTGACGCATAAGTGCAACATCGTCGATTCCACTGTTAGCCTGGTGTGGCTGACAGAAGGCAAGAGAGGCATACGTGTCAATGCCCCCGGTATGCAGCTCTTGCACAAAGGTCGCGGCCAATCCGAGCTCTAGGCAGCGAGCCTCGAAAGTAGCTGAAGAATCCAAGGCCATGGCGCAGTCTGAATTGCCGTGGTGAGCCGTAACTCGGTGCGGGCACAGACCACAAGCTGAGGCAGAGGCAAAATGCGAGGCTAGGCAAGGCAAGCACAAAGCGATTTTCTCGGCAAGGCACAGTCATGCAGCGGCGGACAGCACACGTGAGGCGCTGCACTGGCCACAAAATGCAGTCTGCTCAACATCAAGGTCATCTGGCGAAACATACTCAAAATTGCAAGAAATGGAGCGACCGCACATCAGACGCTCAGGTGAGTGAGGAGACTGCACATGGACAATACCGCTCACAGAGTGCACAAGCCAGGCGTACTCGTAGGCGGCGGCCGGCAGGGGAACTCGATCTCGATGCAGCGGTGCAGGAAGACCGGCAGGTTCATCATCGGAAGAAGAGCTAGATGCAGGTTCCGCGGAGGTCTGAGCAGAAGCTGGACGGGGCGCATGCACCTGCACCATGGAACGCAATCGGCCAAGAGCGTCAGCATCAGGACTCAACTCGCCGGAGTTGATGGAAATCAGCAAGTGCCAGACCTTGGCCTGAAGACGAATGATGGCCTGGCGGTCGTATGTAGTTGCCGACCGAGTAGAAGCCTCAATGTGATGTCCAAGCAATGTGCGTTCTTCACGAGTGAAGAGAGGGCTCATGCCAGCCCAGGCCAAGAAGGTAGTTTTGCAGGAGTGGGCACGAAGTGCCCGCACATCGGTGGGGTCAAGCTCATGAGAGAGGATCTCTCGCAACCATCCAGTGGCCAGGATGGCAGGCCCTGCGAGAGGTCGGACTCGGCTCGAAGAGTCGCAAGACACTCAGCCCATGACTCACAGCCCGGCCATTGACCTAAGCCAATGAATGGAAGGAGCTCGACCTGGGCCTCCTTGGAGTGTGCGGTCTTGTGCTGGGAAGTCGCGGACTCGAAGATGCTGAACTCGTCGTCAGAGAGCACCCGGAAGAAGGCAAGGAAGCGTAAGTCAGACCAACGTGCGACTGCAAAGATGCACGCAAGAAGGTGGCCAGAGATAATGCGCGTATGCAGAGGCCGGGACGGGTCGCAGCACCATGCCATCAGGAAGCGGATGGCACGAACAGTCAAGGCAGGGGCTTGCTGGCGCTTTTGTTTGCGAACATACATGGCATGCGCCACACCACGAATGCGGGCGCTGTCCACCTCACGCAGAGAGATCCGCTGGAAGCGAAACAAACCGTCAGCGAAGCGCAAGGCCTCCAAAGCGGAGGCGCCGGAAGTAGCACCGCTGTCAGCTTCACGAAGTGAGCAGAGATACTCATAGAGCAGGGGCTCCGAAACCATGAAGGGGCTGCGGCCGTCCACGGAGGCCAGGTAGTGAGCCAAGCGCCAGAGAGAGCCTGTGCGTTTGCTGATGGTGCCGGTGGCCTTGGGCCGCAACGTGTCCTGAAGAACCAAGAGGGCTCGGTCGGGTTCCAAAATTTTGCCGAAGCACGTAGTCATCTGAATACCGGTCTTGGTGGCCGACGGGTCAAGAAGCAACAGAGTCTTAAGCTGCACCAAGCAACGGTCACGAAGGGCTGCATCAGTGACACGAAAAGTGGCGGCTTTGATCCGGGCCAGGCTGATGTCTGGGGGAGCTGCAGCAGAGAGCTCGAGGGAATTCGTGGACGGGTCGGGGGGGGTGGGGATCGGTTGAGGCCGTGGACCAACTGGCGCAGGGAAACGGGCGGTGGGCAGGGATGCAGGAGACCCAAAGACGAGGCCCCAAATGCCATGTTCGTAGGGAAGCTTCGGCAGGGACACATCACGTTGATACACCACGGCTCGCTGAACTTCGGAACTCAGGACCGGGCCAGGGTCCTGAGGCAGTGCAGAGCCCACACGTTCCCATCCATCGGATCCCGAGCTGCGTTCGGGGGCCGGATCTAGGCCGTGGTCGCTGTCAGCCAGATCTCCAAGGGGAGAACCGGCGCGCAATGCAGCATTGAAAAAGGAAGGACTCCAGGATCTAGCATCTTCCGAAAGAAGAGGTGAATGCTCCTCGAAGAGAGAATCAGCACGCTCTGCTGCTTCAGCAATGCGAACGGAAGGACTCCGGGATCGAGCATCTTCAGAGGCTCGAGATGCCTGCAAACTCCATCGGCGGCGGAAGTTCACCATTGGCCCCGATCTCGAGAAGAAAACAGGCCATAAGGCAACAATGCAAAGGCGGCATGAAATGTTACCGGCACTTAGACAACCCTCACTTAGGTTTGAGCGGCACGTTTTGTCACAACAGAGCTAAGTCGGCACCAGGCGATCCAGTCACGTGCGAGCCTGAACCAGTTCCTCGAGGCGGTCAAGGCGGCTGCTAAGAAGCATGCACTGCTCCGCAGAATTAGCGCGAAGATCCTCAATCGACGCCTTGATGTCCTGAACGGTGGCCTTCATGGTGTCAACAAACTCAGCGATGGCCCCGAACGGAACCCCAAAGTCTGGGTGGTGTCCAAGCACCATGAGCAGCTGCGTTTGACCAATGTTGAGGTTTGTCAGGCGGCGCTCAATAATCTCAATGCTGCTCTGCAAGAGCCGCACCTGTTCCGCAAGAGCAGGTGGTCCTTGAACCAGCAGCGGACTCGGTGCACGCCAAGGGCGAGAGCGCTCATCGGTCGAAGAAGCAATGGCACGGCGGTCGCGGCTGCGAGAGCGACTGGCATCACGCAGCCTAGCCGGGCCCCAATAGGCGGCGGTCGCGATTTTGATTGCATGCTCAAGGGGACCGCAGTCATGGGTTTTTGACGGCTGAGTCCAACCCGGGGTCCACATTGCGCCAAGCTCTCTGAGATAGCGCCGTGCAGAGGCGATAAGCTCTAGCGAAGACGCGGCATGTTTGGGCAGGCCTCGCCCCTGAAGTACTAGTGGCTGTTGTAGTCCAAGCAATCGTGCAGAGTGCGTAACGACAGGGCATTCGCAGAGCCAATGCCTTACAGAGTTGTCCGCATGGCCGCAGAGCAAGCACGGATGCTCCAGATAATTAAAAACTGCAGGCGATATGGCGCCAATTCTCCTCGGGGTGGGTGTTGCATCTAGATTTGGCATGCTCCACCATTCGTCTCCTGCTTCGAGGATGAAGGGTGTGAGCGCATCAACTCTACACGCGAGCCAAGCTTTATGCTCAGGCCAACCGAGGGCTAAAAGACAACCTCTACAGAGACTGCCCTGTCCCGAGTGCCCGAGGCGCTGCAGGCTGGCCGGGTGGTGTGGATGGTGACACTGAGCACACGTGACGGGCCGTGTATAATGTTGGCGAAACACAAAACTTGCATCAGCCTCTTCGGCCACAATCCACCGAAGTGCATAGGCCCGTGCAACCGTGCTAGAGAGGCTGGCCGGACAATTAAGGACGCTTGCAACCCATTGCAAGCCGGCCGACGCCCACGGCTGCTTGGCAATTTTGTCAAGCAAGTAGTGAGCGGCTTGTGAGTCTTCTGTCTCGAGGATGCAGCGTTTATAAAGTTTGCGGATGTGAGACAGCGATTCCTTTGTGGACCCTTCATTCCAAGCGCTAAAGTTGGTAGCAACTAGAGTTCGCGCGTATTGTTGGAGGGCGTCCCGTATGGGTAGAGCAGCAGTAGTATGCATCCATCATGCGTGCGTGAATGGGTTTTATTTTCCGCCGAAAGTGTAGACAAAGTTTGTCGAAAAAGGAAAACAGTG